AATCTCTCACAGGACTGAAGCACACCAGTGACAATTTATCAGAAGACGGCAGAAGAGTACCCAGGAATGTCTAAACACCAGTTAATGTTTAAAGGCATTGCGTTGAGCTTTTGGAAGTAGGAAACATGAAATAGAGTCACAAAAACTCAGGGAACAAGAAGGCTTTTGGTCCAAAACCAAATTGGTTTTTGGTGAAAGTTCGCAACAAAATATTTAATATATTTGAAATATATAGTAAACTTGGACGAATAAACACCGTAATGCTATACAAACAGAATGGTCATTCAAACTAGCATGCAGACATATGTTCGAGAAAGATGCCATGGTCTCGATCGGATTCACTTTCACCACAAGCTTATGTGAGCTCTGTAACCTATGCATTCCACGTGGATGGATGAGGGTTTTAGCAAAGTTAACGAAGCAAAATATCGCTCTTTCGGAAGATTTGACAAAAATGCAGCGACAACTGATGTAGTCTAATCCGTCTCTTAACAATTTCATGACTCCGCCATCGACCTGTTCTGAAAGTTTGTGTAAGCGTGCCGAAACACATGATTGCTCGACCGTCGTGTTCAGCGATGTCCACCGTGTGCTCCACAGCAAGGTGCAGCAGGCACGGTAAATGACGTGTGAATCAGTTTATAGTAATAGTAGACTTGCGCATTGTCTACCGCACTCCCCTCCTTCCCAGCTGAGCCCGGTGTCAAGACATAGATAAGAAGACCGGGTGTGAGGGAGAGAGCAGGTGGCTGGCACAGCCGGATCCGCTCCTAGGCGTACCATCACACCCCATGGCCCACAACAAACACTTAACCAGGATTTTAACCAACAACAACACGACAACGGGTCAGAAAAAGAGGAATGACTGGGCAACCATGCTCACGACCTGTGTACCCAGCGAGAGGGCGAGCACATTTACCGGCAAAGAACCTGGTGCCATAGAACTGTCGGTGCACACTGGGCTGCGAAGGCAATGGTTTGGTGATCCTGGCATAGAGGACGCTTACAATTCTTGAGGCAACCAAAACACGTAAGCACTTTATAACAAACTAAAATATGTTGTCAATAACAAACAAAAGGATAACAATTAAAAAGTCAAATTGGCGAACACGTGTTTTCAGTAACTCTTCATCAGGCCAAAAAGTTTACAATGAAGTTTAAGTTATGCGAATTACATGACTTATAAATGACTTATAAATGAATTATAAATGAGGCAGAACTCCAGCAGCTGCGGGATACACTCCACGAAAACGGATACCCAGAAAGATTTATCCTTCGAAATATAGGGGAGCGCACTGCAAAGCCTACCATGGCACCTGCAGAAAAGAAGGACTTATTTATAAGATTGCCTTTTCAAGGGGACGCAGCAAGTGAACTAGTAAAAAGACGCCTGAAGACAGAGATCACTAGCGCTTTCCCCGCGGCGAACTTACGTGTGTGTTTCACTAACTCTCCCCTCCTACGCTTGGGAGGTAAAGACCGACTCCCGTTGCAGGCCACATCGATGTGTATTTATTCATCCACTTGCTCCTGTGGAGCAGGATACATTGGCCGTACAACGAGGCGCTTGGAAAAGAGAGTACGTGAACACATACCGGCCTGGCTAGGCAAAGGTGAGAAGAAATCGATCTCGAGTTCTATTCTCGCACATCTTGTCGATACGAATCACCGAGTCGATGCCAAAGAAGCCTTTCAGATTGTCTACCGGACACCAGCAGGCTTCTCCAAAGGCCTACGCCAACGGGTGCTAGCTACAGCTGAGGCAGTGGCTATACGGCTAGCCAATCCAGTGCTATGCTGTCAGAAGACTCTGACACAGGCGCTCCGTCTTCCGTGGCCGACGCCGACCCCAACGTCGCCCCAACCTCCTGATGCCAGGGTGTGTGCACAAGGTACCCGACGTACTCACAGCCTATGCCCCCCCCCTTCCCCGCCCCCTGAACCCAATGACCACGACACGCCGACCACGCCATAGCACGCCTCGTCATGCGAGTGGCGTGGGAACGATCGATGTTAATTGTCCCCGAATCATTTATAAGTCATGTAATTCGCATAACTTAAACTTCATTGTAAACGCTTTGGCCTGCTGAAGAGTTACTGAAAACACGTGTTCGCCAATTTGACTTTTCAAAAGGATAACAATGAGTTGGAACGTCCAATAATACTAAACAAGGTGTCGTGTTGGCTTCCGTCTAGAAATCCTCACAGACAATTCTACTTATTTTGCTTCTGAAAAAAGCACTTCTTCAGTAGTGTTCCTGTCTTCCAGCGATCCGATTAGAACGTAAAATAGCCGGGGAATGCTACTGAGGAGGAAATCAAAGCCACATGTGGCCCAAAACGATAGGAGCTTTAAGGCAGTAAATTCAATGTTTCCAAGAAAATGTAAAATTAATAGTCAGAAAAACTGGCTGGTCACCAGAAGGGGTACTTTAACTGTCTGAACCAACAGTTTCGGGGCAGTGAAGTGGTTTTCTGTCCAGATTTTTAGGCAAAGCCTAGTAGAACAAGTACTATTCATATTTTGCCATCAATTGTTGCGTATCATTAAGGATAAGTGTCAACGTTATGTATCGTCATTAATTGAAGGGAGTGTCAGCATTCCAGGTACGACACGTTGAAAAAGTACTACCTACTTGCAAATAGCACACAGATCAAACCAGTATGTTTCGACGAGTGGGTCAAGAGCTATGACATAATTAAGGGCGAACGGGCAAATTTACATTCTGCCCGCTGATAAGAGATGATCGGCTGTCATAGTGGACCGAGAAGAGTACGACGAGAAAGTCAAGGCCCCACTTGAGTACAGAGGATTTTAAAGACCAGAACAAAAATAACAAGCCTAATCAGCAACAGGTCGACTGAATAAACTACTTAGGAAATCTAAACACCAAAGTATGATCACGGAGGACGAATGGCGCCAGGCCAAACCGACGGACGTTGTTCTGGCTCGATTTCATGGTCTGCCAAAGACCCCTGCGAACAATCGTCACCCTAAAAACTACCCCCACCTATAATTTGGCAAAAATTGATTTACTCGAAGGTGACGTTCCTCCAAGGTGACGTTACCTAATTTCGGACGAAATCATGGTCTCTTCCGATGCGTCGTCGTTATTGCCATCCCTATAGTCAAATTTGGCGCAAGAAGTCCTGCGCAGGACACTTAGGAGGGCCTTACGACTAAACTCAGAATCCGCTCAAAATCCAACACTTATTGAAGCTGTTTTAATTTCGGCAAAGAACCTGCTTCACTTTCGGGGGGTAAATCTATGGGCGATGGACTCTCCAATCTCCGGTTTATTGGCGAAACTGGTTCTGTAGGAGAGGGAAAGGATTACCTTTGACTAGCAGGCGCCGATCTTTTGACACTGTTACGTGGACTGCACGTTTGTAATAACTAGGAAGAACAAGCAGTAGAGTTTTCATGATTTGCTTAACTTACTTTTTCCAGATGTACAATTCATGAGGGAGGAAGAAAAGGGGCAGCAGCCCTTCTTTCCTTGATGTGTTTGTCAGACAGTCTCTATGGCGAAATAGAAACAACGGTCTACGTGAAGGCGATGAGCACCACACAACTTTTCAATTTTTACAGCAACCATCCGGTGGCTTAAAAACGTAACCGTGCGAGAACTCTTTAAACGGATTAAGACTCATTTCAGCAACCCGGAAGAAAAGACAAGCGAGGCGCGATGTCACAACGGCCAATTTATGCGGAACAGCTATCCGACGGCGTTCATAAATCGATGCCTACCTGTTCGCCCTCGAGGTTCCATCCAGAAACAACACCTCTGTTATGGGATACTCTGCCATACATCAAGGACGTGTCAGAGGCGACCGAGTGCATTGCTGCGGGGCTAGATGTCGAAATTGCACACAGGCCCAAGGCTAACATTCGTAGTAGGGTCGTGAAAATTAAGAACCAATTAAATTCCAGTGAGCAGTCGAGGGCAATATATCGCATCTCGTTCCTAAAACTATCCTTGTAGTGAAACAGTTCGGACTGAACGCGTGTTCGGATTGCGCATACACGAACCTAAGCTGGCTGTGTGGCGAGACGAAGAATTATCACAAATGACTGCCCAAGCCTATGCAACGGGTCACAAGTCTAACTTAGTAGCTACGACGATAATCACCCACGTCAGAAGCAAGGCCGGTCGAGAATTGATTGAAACCTAGGCCCCAAGTGAGAACTCAGTCAGTCGATGTATCTATCTGGCGCCGAAATACAGAGCCCTGTGCGGTCACCTACAGCATGACGTCCCTGATGCTTGACTGGCTCATAACCCCTATAACTGTTGCTTGTTCTGTTGACGCTTTTACCTCTGGACTCCTGTACGAGTTCGAAAGCTCAGACGAATAAAGAAATTGTTCTGGCGACTCACCAATCTTATTCTTCCCCAATTAAGTATATTTTGTGGGCTGGTAATCTGTGTTCCACCACTACCAC